TTCTTGAATATCAAGTTATGAATGATTACACAAATCCAAAACATTGCCAAATAATGGGACAGATATGTTTATTTTGAATTACAAGGTATAATATTGTTTATATTGATGAAGTGAAATATTAGGAACCATACCCAGACCCTATTGTTCTAACTGTGGATCAATTTTTCTCTGAGGGGATTATTGCTAAATTGCAATCAAATTAAGTGGCTTAGATGTCTGTCACGCCTACTGAAGCTGCTAGGGGGTAGTAAATTTCGTTTAGCAGCTTCAGTAAGTGTGCCAGACATCTAAGCTGCATAAGCTGAAAGCAATTTAGCAAGAAACCCCTGGGAGATTGATCTAGGTATGGTAATCCAGTCTTAAAGAATTAAGATAAATGTTTGAAATTTTTGGTAGTTACTTTACTTTATGTATCATGTTTCAGGTGCTGCTGATTTTCTACCAGACTTGTTGAGAGAGCCTGGCCTACTCTCTGGCATGAAGTATACAGATATATCAGTTCCCATTCAAAAAGCTTCTGTTTGGCTCCAATCAAATCAGGTAAGTCATTTCTTATTACATTGCATTACACCTTTATTTAGCAGTAAGTCATTTCTTATTACATTGCATTACACCTTTATTTAGCAAAATTTAGTTTTGTCAGAAAATCTGTTTTTTCCCATATTCACCAAGGTACAGTGTATACCTCATCTAAAACCATTCACAGAATTATGACCTGTAAACCCATTTTTTGTGTTAGAAATTAGAAGGAGTTAATTATTTTCACTGTCATGGGTTAAATAAACTTGTCTTTACCTCCATTGCATTTTTAGAATGTCATAGGAATCAAATAAACAGAAAGACAGGTTTAGGAATGTCCTCAAATACTCAAAGAAAGTAATATTGTGTGTGACTAGATACCTCATTGGAACTTCTAAATAAATGTGGGTTAGTTTTAATAGAACCAGCTTGATCTTAGTTTTGATCATTGTTGAAAGAATTTCAGCTAAATGGCAATCTCTTTTTTTTTTTTTTTTAAGGGTGTCCGCTTTTTGAGTTTGCAGACTCTTGATGTTGAATATCACCAAACAAGGGGTAAGGAAATAGATTTTGATGAAAATGTTTGTATATTATCAGATGGAAGTAAATGAAAGAAAGTAATATTGTGTGTGACTAGATAACTTTTGCTGATGCCAACTTAATGTAAGATCGCACCTGTGCAAGTATATACAGTGTATGATTACAGGGGCAGGTCCAGAAATATTTTTTGACAGGCTTCCAAATTATCTTTATTGATCCATCCTCCATTTTTGACTGTCTTCTGACAGAAAAGTTTAAATACCCGTCAATGAAAACTTGAAAATCTGACCGTCTTCCAGAAGAACCAGAAGACGGCCTAAATCCGCACCTGTGATTATGTGTATATACTGATTTTTAGTACGGTAAACAACATTTATCTTTCAATTGCGTATGGATTGTAAAAAAATAATATTTTTAGCCTTAATTGGTTTGGAATTATCTGCAATTGATTGATTGATTGATTGATTTTATTTCAAGATCCACATTTACAGAGTATGACTCTGTTTGAATCTAAACTGGAAGCAAAAACAGAAGTTGCCTTCATTCGAGTCCACTATGCCAAGCCAAGAGGAGCCATTGTGGCGCCCCCTACTGTTAATCTCACAGCACCCCTCAGCTACAAGACTTTCTTGCCTGTTCTCTATGCAGCAGATGGATGTTGTGGGTCAGATAGGTCTTATGAAGACGTTCACCAGACTATGGTTCGTGTTATAGCGTGGTTGAATGCAGTGCGAGGTAAGAAAGTATGGGGTCTCCTGTTACATTTAAAGGTCAAACAACCTTATTACATTAATAATAATAATAAGTACAACTTTGGCTATAAATTAATCCACACATTTGTTTAACATGTTCTCAGTCCTTTCTTTTTGCCAAATTCCATGGTTTGAACATGGCACATTTAAAGTATACCTTACTTTGATTTGATTTGATTTTTTATTTTTAAAAGAATTCTTCTCTGCCTTTAACTTTTTTCACCGCATGAGTCTTCATGTTATATACTAGTATATACAGGTCTTTTTACCTACTATATTGGATTATTATTATTATTATTATTATTATATTGAATGTGTTTTTTTTTTGCAATGTGTAATTATTAGATTATAATTATAATTTATAAATTCTTTCTCCAGCACCTGTGGTGACTGTGGAGACAATAGGACGTATTCACGCAGATGCTGAGGACAGAAAATATGGTTCTGATGGAACTATAGTCAGCAATGAGTGGTATACCACCACTGACAGTGAAGGTCGTACACAAGGACCGTATAGACATAACTTAATGTATTACATCAGGTAGGATA